AACGAAAGAAAAGGGCAGCCCACCTCAGGACATCAAAAGCTGCGGCTGGGTCCACAGCTTCCACGCGCGTGAGGGCTTCCGTAGAGTATGTTTGCTTCAGTGCTTATTTGACCTCCTTGCAAGGTTCTGTGTACAACCTTGAGCCCTGGCCAGCCACGGGCTAACTTGCTCATGGCTTTCTGAGTATTGATCTTTCAGAGCAAGCTCTGGCACGCTTTTGTCTGAGGATGCCTGTGTCGAGGCTATTTGATGACGTTGGACGTTGCTACAAGCTTGATGTGTCCTTCTGCGCCGCTGCGCATCCCATAGCATAAAGTCAAACAAGAGAGCCCGCTGAGTTTAAGCATATCATATAAGTAGGCGGAGGAAAAGGAACCAAACAGGATTCCCTTAGTAAAGGCGAACGAACAGGGTTGGAAACCAGGGCCCTGGTCCTGGGTTGTAGCCGGCGCTATCGCTCTTGGAACAGAGCGTGCGCCCAGGTGAGAATCCTGTGTTTCGCTTGAAGTCCGCCGTGTACGCAAAACGAAGGTTTTCCGCAGTTGCCCAGCTGCAGGTCTACTGGGGGATGAGACATGAGTGAAGGTCTCAGCCTCATCCTTGCCTGCTTGCACATCAGCGCAATCGAGGACTACCCAGTCGAAGGTCATTTGAAGAAGTGGCCATGGCTAAGGCAACAAAGAAGAAGTGCCAGGATCTGATGTCCACAGCTCACTTTCATGGAATGTATTCTTGATTCAAGGTACATTATATGCATGCTTTCCACACGTTCCAAGCACGTATAACCGTATAACAAACATTGAAACAGCAAGTGTTTCCATTGTTGAGCTCACTTGGTCCTGGCAAAGCCCCTCCGCGACATCGGCACCAGAAGATCTGCTGATTTCAGCTCCAGGATCTCCACAAGTTTTCGTTCCCATGGCTCCCGGATGGCCACAAAAATATACAATCGGAAGCTCGGAAGATCTGACAAGCTTGGATGAGTTGCAAGGGTCATTGTGCAAGCAGTCAAAAAAACTTGTTTTGGCTGGGATGTTGAGGACAATATAGAACTCAAAGCTGCCACCGAGTCAACTATTCAAATAATCAATCAAACAACCAATCAAGCAACCAACCAACCACAAACTCAACCAACCAGTCAGTCAATCAATCAATAGTCAACCAATTTGAAGTCTTGTTGCTCTCGGCTAGCGCTACGATTTAATGTTACTGAAAAAAGAAAGCAAAAGCATGCAGCCGCAGCCTTGGAAAGGAGGACCCGGGCAAAGCTGTGCCAAGGCACACGAGCAATTGCAGCTGCCTTTGCAATGCCAAAGCAGCAGAAAGCCGATCATGTGCAAGCTACAACTATGCCTTCTTCGCAGCTCGCTTATGCCAGGCCACGGTGTCACTGCCTTAGGGATATTTTAGATTGAGAGTGCGAGAGTTCGCGCACTCTTTTGCTGTTGCATGAGTCAACAAACTCTGAATGGGAAAGTACGTTGCTTAGTCTGTTCCATTTTGGGGTCGCAGGCTCTTTGGTTTCTCAAGCAGAGCGTACCGCGTCTGCATACGCCTGCTAACTTGCTTTCTGCAGCAAAGGATCCTGACGTTGGAGGAGCAACCAGCGGAGACAGCTCCTAACCACAAAAATGTCTGATTTCAGCTCATGTCAGCAGTCATGCCTATCTATTACCTGTCAATGGTTTCGTCGAGTTAACGTGTTGTGCCGATGCGCAGCAGTCGGTTTTAAAGTCCTGTACATGCAAATCGAGATCTGCGTAATTCCGCAGATATTTGTAGTTGCGATCAGCGTACCTGAAAGACATATATACTTCAATTGGGTCAACCAGAAAGGTTACACACCTGCCCTTGCTGTGAGCGGCTCACCTACGAGCTTTGTTGGAATCAGAAAGAACGGCCAAGGCATGTCCTTGGCATCAGCCCAACGAGGGCGTGTCCAAGAAGTGCTAAGCGATCCAAATGGTCTGAGGCTCCACCCAAGGGCCATCCACACGAAACTGCTGATAGAAGCCCCTGGACAAAACACTTGCTCAAGGCTGGCGGCTGATGAAGCCAGACCACCAAAGACCGCTCAAGCTGCAGAGCAGAAATGTTCAGGCTGATACCTTTTTTCTGCGTCCAAAGAGTGCAGCCTTGGCCGGCCTCATGGATAACTTTGTCCAGGACGTTGCTGTGCTTGTCAAAGTTGTGCCTCCAGTTCCGAACAAAGTCCGAAACCAAAGATCTGGACTCCAAACTCGAAGAGTTCTCTTGATGCAAGCAAGCCACGTGAATTGCACCACCGCGCTGGCAGCCTACATGGGGTCTCGCTTTCAATAGAAAAATGGGGACGTCGGCGAAACCATGTAGAATTCATCATGTGCTGCATTGCAAATTGTTGACCACGCATCTCAGAGTCAAGGAGGCAAATGGGCAACAAGTTTGAAACGCCTGAACTGCCGCCAAGAAAGCAGTTCCAATTGGGCACCTGAGCCGACAGCGAGATCAAGATGCCACTGAAGGAGTTTGTTCGACTTCGATCTATTTGGCAACTGAGGGGCTTTCCTACAAACATATGTTTTGATCGCAGCACCTCCATTAAAACAACGATTGATTCTGGACAACTGCAAGATTAAAGGTGGACCCTGTGCCCGACCACTGCTAGGTCAACAAGGATGATGGTTGCTATAGTACGTGATGCTGATGATGCAGGTTCCTACTGAGGCATTTCTTACATTATCAGCAAAGCTAGCCTCAGCTCGGAATGAGCCGCATGGAACAAGCAAATTAAAGAAATCTTTGGAGGATTTGACCAGAGAGGCAACGCCAATGGAAAATTTTTGAAGAGGAACTCAATGAAGTGCAAACGGGATGGAGGACTGATCAGCTGCTAACTCGTATGCGATGGCACCAAGTGTCTCGTAGGATCAATTTTGAGATCAAGATTGAGAAGGGTGGCCTTGAAAGTAAAAGGAACAGCATGGCTGGCACGAAGAATTCCATGAGATAGACTATTTTGGCCTGGGACTCAACCATCCAGACAAACTTGCGCGGACTTTTCTGGCGAGGATGGGCTTCATTGGCATTCTGTTTGAGCCTAATGAAACTTACTTGTGCTTAGACATTGAAAGACTTCTCCACAAAGGCTGTATTTTGGAAGGTGATCAGGCTTAGAACAAGGAACTATCCTTTGCAAATTGGAAGATCCTGTACAATTCGGTATGCTCAAAAGGCTTCCACACCTGTATCTAGACTTGGACTGTGGAGTAGGAATGCAATAACGGTTGGCATGGCTCATTTCTAGTAACATGCAACCACGAAGATTTCTGCGGAGCAGGAGCATTTCATCTTCGTAACAATTCTCTCATGCATTTCGCGTGACAGCCCTGGGAGGGCCCATTCTAGCAATCCCGAGACCTCTAAATCCCTCTGATCTCACCTGACATCACCCTATCCTCATACCTTTGCCAAATCGTAGCACTAACAACGACAACTGATGGTTATTCCTGCTGATGCAAACATTGAGATCAGCACTCCAACTCCGCTTGCTTGGTCGAGGCTTCATCCTTCCATATCTGATGGTTGGACTAAGTGATTATGTCAAGATCGTTTTCAGTCAGCATAGTTAACTTGTTGGGTCTATAAACAGATGAATCCGGAAACAGCAAAGAGCTAGGGGCTGACCACGAAGTTGTCTATAAGCAAAAGCAGCTTGACAACCTGAGCAATGCCAGACTTTAAAAGAGCTACAAGGAGGTCTGCAGGGCCTCTGGACTGCGAGATCCTTCTGTAAACTGCATCCGCGACCTGGAAACAGCGCAGACTTCGATCAAACCGCTGACGGCTAAAGCTCACAGACTGACATCCACGAGTTGAGGCAAGGACCAGTGACCTGCGATCCACCGGAGTTTCTTCCAATCAACTGCCTCAACAATCCACTTGAGACGGTCGTCAAGGGCTTCAGTAGTTTCCTGACACACTGGCTGGCACTACTGAAAGCATCCAAGTATTTCAAAAGGCAACAAAAATCTATCCTTGCATGTACTTCACAGTTTAACTGCAAAAAGAATGGTGTATATATACAATGTATACAATATAATAAAATGCATGTTGAAAGAAGTTGCAGGGTAAGCAAACCCAACACTGCCACTCAGGCTGCATCACCACCAACTATGTCGTCACACCTGCAGGACAATAGGGGGCAAAGGGTGATAAGGGAGATCTTCCACCTTGATTCAAAGCTCGGCACGCATTGCCAGGAACTCCAGCTATATCCTCCAGTAAATACTTACTCATACATTACACACAAACAGGATCACAGGTATACCGGTACACCAGCATACCAAAAGGTATACAGTAAGTACATGTGCAAGTGCACCATGCAGGTGCCATCACCCCTCTTGAACACTATCACTAAGCTTGGCTGGCCATGTCTTAATGAAAGATCCTTTGCCCGCATATCCAACGGCGTGTTGCCAAAAAAGACGCTGATGAACAACCCATGCTTTCGGTGTGTGCTCCTTTGAACATATTAGCTGCTCTGCCGGTTACCACATCATATCGCATGGTTTGAACCCTCTTATCTGAAGCTCAATCCATCCTTCCTCGATATATTCTAGGACTGTTGGTCAGGGTGTGCCCAAAAAGGCTCTTCTGAAGTGCTTCACACAGTTCGACTCTTGATGCTTGAACGTCCTTGTCCATCTTCAGTGTAAAGATCTCGATGGCCTTCAGATCAACGAAGATTCAATTGTCCAACTGAAGGTTACAAAAGAAAAAGGTCAATGGGTTCAAGTCCAGGCCTCAAAGACTGGCCACCGACTTGAGCATATCTTGGCAGCAACTACAGGATTCAGAAAGCAACATCACAATTGTCTAAAGTAGTTTTCTCAGAGCTCGACCACGTGCACAGGAAACTCGCTAGCTAAAGAATCCTCAGAGTGATGTTGCTGGCTTTATTGACCACAGGCATTTCACATCACCAATGACCAATCTTCGTTGCATGTCTGGTGCCGCGAAGTAGGTGTTTGACAGCGACATGGGCTGAAATTTGCATCACCTTACCAATGCACATGGATTCTTGAAAGCAAACAACAAGCACATTCTTCATCTTGGAACCACAGCTGAGAGGACTCAAGTTCTCCACTTCTTTTCTGTGCCGTTCGCTTACAAGTGGGTCAGTTGACTCCTGGAAGCTTCACCAAAATGCAACTTTCACAAAATGCTCACAAGTGAAAACAAATGAAGAAAGAAGAGATGAAAAAGGAAGATAAGGCCCCTTTAAAGGAGGCCTTACCTTCCTTTGTTCATATCTTTTATCGTCCTTTATTTTCATTCAAAAGAATAAGTTTCTGAAATTGAGGTAAAGCAAATGTCAATGAAAGCGAATCTGGACTAAGGAGTGATGAACAAGCTAGATCTGCCATTTGGACTGCACCAAAGGATATGGTTTTGAATCGGTCATCGACATCTACTATATCTATACACTGAATGCATTGTCCACAGGTCTAGATTGTCTTCACTGTACTTTTCAGACTTGAGACAACAAAACGCTATTGCTATTTGTGTGTCTGCGCTTTGCCAACCTCTGTGCTCTCAAATGCCGCTGTATAGAAGTGGACGATGGCGAGGTTCAAGAGCTGGCAGACAAAGTCTCTGCAAAACTTTCAGTGACCAAACCACGACCCTGCTCTGCGTGATGACATGCTGGCAATGCTCCCAAGGGGCACTCCTGAACGCAAACTGACTGGCAAGTCGATATGAAAGCCTAGCAACATAGGCAAAATGCTGGAGTGCCATGCAACAAAACTAAATTGCCGCCCTGAACTTGAGAGACTGTAAATGCGTTTGCCTGCTACCTGCTTACTGCTCCTGCGCGGCTTCTTCTGCTTGCTGCAGCAAGAGGCGCCCAGACCTCAAGAACAGCTCTGATGTATACTGTATGTCAATGGATGATAGGGTCCATCTTGTCTGCTGTTCGTCTGCTATGAATCTGTGCAAGTTTTGCTTTGGACATGTCTCCGTAATTGGCTGGCTTTCAACAACCCAGCAGAGTGAAACTTGCAGCTCTTGCTGCCACAAAGTCTGACCTGGTGCCTCTGTTCAGAATATGCAAGCACGCCTCTGTACTTGGGTGCTCACTTCACGACTCAACCGAAAGCCAGCACACTCTCACGGGAGCTTCACAAACTGTGCTAGCATGTCTATGAGAAGCCAGCTCTCCCTACAAGCTTCTACATTTGCGCATCATCGTCGTCATCCTCATCAGCGTCCTCCATTGCTGCATCATTCGCATCAGCATTCCACATGACTCCCAGCTCAACCTGAGGCTGTAAATTTCCACCTAAAACATCCTCAAAGTCACCCTCCGATTCACTGTCATCTGCTTGCTCATCATAGGGATCCGGGTTCAACGCAGACATTTCCGAGAAGACCTTGAACATCCTCAATGTCGCATGTAGAATCCAACAAAGCAACTTTTGAGCTTTTAGTGCATGGAGCATAGACCGCTTAGCCAAAATTGCTTAAAAGTGCGATCAAGCCACTCTTGCAAATGTGACGGTTCGGCTGGTACGAATCTGAGCTCTGGCACTGATACTTCCTCCTGCAAGTCGACTCGGAAGAGTTGCTGTGCAAATCAAGTCATCTTTAACATGTTGTGTCAACAAGGATCCTACATTCAATCTTGCTCAACAGGCACCTCATCATTCTCATCTTCTTCTTCCCGAAGTTGGCAATACAAGCAAGGATCGGGCCAGGCATTTTTGTCCCTTGAGACAGCATGCCTCGGTTCATTGAGCATGCAAAATGCAATGAAATGCATGCACTGAAGACCTCAGCCTAATTTAGACCAGGTTCATCGTGATGAATGGATAGTCAATCGCACAACCAGGACCACCCAGCCAGACTAGACGTTTTGTGGTCAGATGGAGCACGCCTTCACCTTCAAGATGCTGCCTTGTGTAGAGCCTGGTGCAATTGGGCAGTCATTCCAATGCACAGAGAGGAGATGAAAGCAACCCTTGCGTGGAATGCACGCTGTATGTGTTTTTTAAGGGAAGACCCCTGTAATAATACACAAAGAGAGTCTATGTTTTTTCTGCTAAGGACGGCCAGCGGGTGCTGCAAAGTCCGGCATGATCTGCAACTCTGAAACGCACTGTGTTTCAACTAGGACTCTTAGTCTCAACAAAAACCTGGACTCTCTTGTTCGGTCGCTCGGTTCGTGTCGCCTGGTTCGGGGCTCTGACAATCGAATCTCCTCACCCTCTAACAGTACCGGAAGGTCCCCATTCCTTGCTGGTCCTTTCTCAATTGGCATGGCACAATCTACGGGATAACAAAATTTGAGCGGATTGGAGCCAAAACTGACAATGTCACGCCAGGCGGACACAAGCAAAAATCAAGTGATGAACGCCCGGTGTGCATTCCACCAAGAGGACCCTGACAAATGGGTTCTAGGCTGCATGTCCTTCCAGAGGGGTTTTTGTGGGTCTGTGCTGAAGACAGACGCACATGCAATACAAGAATTGAAGATAAATACAATTCTGTGGTCGTAGCAATCTCGGGGGGACGAGGCCAAGGGCCTCCTGCTCCAGTTGTGCAGGGTGAGATTCAACATAAAATCCTTCCAATACAAAAAACAAAACGTCCTTTCTGTGCAGATTGGACAGCTGCCTCCACCTGTTCAAGGATGCGCAAACGATGGTCTCAGTCTCAGCTGATTTGCTGAATGGCAATCTTCCACCTGAAGGTTACAAAGATTTGCATCGCCTCACGATGAATGCCGTTCCAATCTGCAACGGTCAGCCTTGGCCAAAGAAAAGAATGTGTCAAAACTGATAAGCTGTCAAGTTGCAGTAGGTCACACCTCTGCTTCACACAAGCGCAATCGTAGTCAAAAAATGGTGGTCGAGATGCATCACCTCCAAAGGCAAACCCAGGACAGGTGTTGTTGAAATTCCTGTGAAACACCTGGCCTTTCAATAACCAAATCGCGACCAATAAATAACATCGCCATTCCACCATGCCACCATTTGTGCAAACGGAATTTGTTTTTGCCTAGAAACCAAGTGAAAGTGAGAGTGTTTTCCCAAATCCACAAAGCACTCACACAAACGTGAGTCAAACCTAATGAGTGCTCAAGTCTCACAAATTAGGGTGCAGCCGTGCTACCCGGAAAAAAAATGTAAATATATATATATATATATATTCCTTGAAAGGTTAAACAAACAACCGGAAATGTATACCTTGCCTGACCGGACGAAAAATTGGGTCACGCTGTTTTCATAGCAATATCACAATATAAATGTCACACTACATGTTCTTGTACTTGACCCGCTTTTGGTTCAAGTGCTCAGGGTATCACACTGCATCAACAAAATTCCAATACAAAGGCATCTTCACGGAAACACCTGCGTCTTTGTCAAATTGAACCTCCTTTGCAAGCAAATTTAAGCTAAATCGTTTCAACAAAGAATTCAACAACCCCAAAAAAACAAATGTTCTTTATAACACAATATGTTGTCAATGTTTGTGAAAACAATGCTTTGGATGTGGCAAACGTGTAGAAGCTTGGGACCGAAGCCATAAACTGATCGTTTGGCATCTTGAACCAGTGTGAATATTGCGAAATGCAACAGTTGTCATAGTTCTAACACATGAGATACTAGCGGTTCTGACTCACTCAGCGAATATGACTTGTGTGTGAAAACAGACATATACTCCCTGCCCGGATTCTGCACACTGAGCAAAGCATCAGTTTTGGATGTGTTTATGTTGTGTTTTGTGTTTTCCGACCATACGTTTGCAACGCAAAAATTGTGCATTTATTATCATGATTTGCAATAAGAATCTTAGGACACATGAAGCGAACCCGACCAACATCTCCATTGCACTTTGACATTGAGCCTCTGTATGTTTGTGTTGGCCATATTTGTTTCGATGCAACAAGCCAGTTCTGGTCACTTGAAACAAGTTGCCAGAATCTGCAGGCAAAAAAGGAACAGCTTTGAAACAGCACTCAGGTTTGATGGTCTGATGGATGATAAGGCACAAAACACTGCAAAAAACTGGACGACAAATCGCCCCAGAGCGTAGAAGAACAAGCGCACCCTTTTAGGCGCCCTGCGTGTCTCAGGAAAGTATGTCTAGAACTCCTGTTCCCAACTGTACGGACTCACGCAAGCGCACTTCCGCACCAAACCGCATGACACAAGGTGTACCACAAAACCTACCACGAGATTTGGAGTTGGTAACGTCAAGAAAAAGTCAGTGTTTCCATGGTAAGACTCTTATGCGGCGCGGAAAACTCCGCAAGACTGATTGGTCGACACTTTCACCTGAGAGCCGGGGTTCCTGTTCCCTTCACCGCTTCACTGTCTGTCTTCTTTTAGTGACGCACTCAAGGTTGAAACAAGGTTTTTCCTTGCAGCGCGGATTCATCGCTCATGTTGCATTGTCTGGTGGCAAATTCGTCTTTAGTTTCGCACACCTGGCTAACCAGAACCTTGTTTGCTTGGGTTTGTTTGTCGACACGAGAGAGGCAGAAGAACAGTCATGCAAAGGTCGAAGGCACATTTGCAACGCTGACAAAGGTCCCGCGTACAGAAGCAGAACCAGGAATCGTTCAACGCCAGACTATGTACCAAAGGCCGCAAACAGGAAAAGAAACTGGGAGGATGAAAAAACACAGCTTTAGATTCAACAGAAACCATGAAAGCGAAGAGAAAATCAAAAGGTGATCCCAGGGAGTACATATCATTTCAAAACTGTGTGCAGACGTGCATGCAGGCAACCATGCTGCTGAGTCCTGAATGCTAGGTGGTGCTGCCTTTTTTTCCAACTGTGTTTTCTCTGTTTTTTTCCATTGACAAACTGAGCTCATCAACTGAGCTTCCAACTTTGACACCAAACTCAGCAACTTTACGAAGCTCAACTCAACCACGCATGCAACAAACTCAGACAAAACGCTCAGGCAAGGCGCACACGACCTAGGTTTTAGCAAAAAAAAGGCACAGACGACACAGGCTTCCATTCCATTCCAGACGACACAGCATCACAAGCTTTGCAGGGACTCTGAGTTTCGGATCTATTAGGAGAAAAAGGTTTTTGTGGGTCACAATTTCTTGGGTTGTGGGTGAGTTGAACGTCAGTGATATTCAGAGACAATCGGACTTACAAGAGTGTGAAAACACACGGACAGCGCAACAGTCCTTTTCTCGGTCCCGCTTGAGCCAAAAGCCCAGCACTGAGGCTTTCAGCAAAGCAATCACGTAGCCAAAACAAGTCACAAGCCTCTGACTCTTGAGCTTCACAGTCCAAAGACTAAGAAAGCTCTTCTAAGTACAAGAACCAGCTAAGAAGTCTACCAAGACCACTCTGGTTGAGACTCTCCCAAACCCAAACAGCAAGAAGGAACCAAAAACACAAAGAAGCATCATTCCCATAAAAACCCAATTCAAAATCCCTATACAGAGCTACATGTAGGGTACCATACTGGTCACTCCTAACTTTTCACACCCCTTCTTGGGTCGCTACATGCTAGCTACTCTGTCCTCTTTCCATACATTCCATTGTTCTGTTTTTCCCCAAACAGTTTACTGTTGGGGTTCTATCATAGAAAACAAGAGCTGGCCACACTCACTGGCCGCGCCCCTGAACTCTGTGGCTGGGCTCTGTGGCCCGGCTCTGTGTCCGGGCCTTGTCTCCTCTTGTCCTCTTCTTGTCCTCCTCTTGTCCTTGTCTTGGCCGCGCCCCTGAACTCTGTGGCTGGGCTCTGTGGCCCGGCTCTGTGTCCGGGTCTTGTCCTCCGCTTGTCCTTGTCTTGGCCGCGCCCCTGAACTCTGTGGCTGGTCTCTGTGGCCCGGCTTACTGGAGAGGAGTGTGGCCGAACAAATAGCGATGTCAATCCCGACAAAAAACTCATTGATGAAGCAGTTAAATTTGCTCTTGGGGTGAAGGTAGGGCGTACGAAGAAATCGTTTTTTATTGGTCCAAACGAATCGTTAGTTTTGAAGCTGTTTGGGGTCTATGCTGGTATAATGTTTTTTCTTCTTCTTCTCATTCATTTGAAAAACTAAACTCATCAACTAAGCTTTCAGCCTTGACGTCCACAAGTCTTCAACAGCAAACTCAACAAAGCACACCAAGTTCAACAACCATGCGCGCAGACAACAACTCAAGGCCAAAATCAACTCGACAAGGAATAAAGCAAGGATCCCTCAGATATCTCGTGAAGCCACACAGATTGACTTCTTTGAATCTTTGGTCATCACTGGGATCCTTGAACGACAAAGGCTCAAGAAGGTACCTGACAGGAAAGGTTGTAGGTTCAAAACCCTAAACCCTTACCTTAGACAATTCTCTGGAAAATTCTGGAATTTCCAGGCGGCCCTAGACGACACTGCGTTGCCGGAAATTTCAAGCTTTTCTCCCAGACATTGCATCATCAGCATGACAAGCGCACGTGAATCTTGCGCGTTGCCTTGAGGGTTTCGTGGGTGAGGCTGCTCTGCCGTGTCATTTGGTTGAGAGCAGCCTCAATGCTTTCCAAGAGCTTCATGGGTTGAATCCAGAAGACTGTGCACAGAGTTTGAAATGCTTGGGGGTTGAGACAGATGAGAATCTGCTCTTATCTTTCGTCTTTCGTTTCGCTTCGAATGTTCCATGTTCTTCAGGAAATGACCATGTTTACAGGAGATGAAGCGTTACAAGATGTTGATCACTCCATTGAAGGCTCGACATCACTACTTTTGTGGATTTTTTTTTGCACGAGTGGAGCCGCCGTACGTGCAGGAAATGCACAGGTCAGCTTGTGCTGTTTTTGGGTGAGTCTCCTGTAAAGAAGAAGCAACAAGCAACACAAAACAAACCAACCCCAAAACCCAAAACCACAAACCGCAACAAACCAAGAACGAGAAAGGAGACTCAACTTTGTACGTGCAAAGGTGAGACGAAAGGTGAAACGGTGACACTGCTATGATGTCATTGTTGGGCAACTAATTCTGGCAAAGGTTCGAGCGGCGCGATATAATAGCTTGCAGTCAAACTGACGGAGGCAAACGGCCTGTTGTGGCAGGCCTATGCGGTGAGCATTATTTAAAGGAGTGCTCATTATGTTTGTCGTGATCAATAGGTAGCTATATGGCAGTTGCAGACTACCTGGTTGTTCTACTGCTAAGCTAGTACACGAATGTCAAGAGAACGCACGAAAGTTGCAGGTGGCCGTGGAAAACAGTGAAGCGCTCAAGCTCTAACGTGACAAGCGAAAGGGCACCAAGCCTCCACTGTGGCCTGCGTTCTGTGCGATTGGATGACAGTTTCCATGATAGAGATGGCGGATCCTACGTGGGCAAATCTGTTGCTACC